TTACTTAGACAATGGAATATCGCTGTGCAATTTGCATTTCATAAGGATCATCCTGGCAGCAGCGGAGAGGAGGAATTGGAAGGAGGCCAGGCTCAAGGCAGCAGAACTGGTTGGGAGAGTGGCGGCAGTAGTCCATGATGAAAGCCTAGACCAAGACTGTGGCAACAGGAGCAGGGAGGAGGGACTAAACTAAGACAACATATTTAGGAAGCAGAATTGACATGTCTTCGTGATTAATTTCATCTAAGGGTGAGAGAGAGGGAGGTATCCATGAAACCTTCCAGTTTTCTGACTTAGATGATTGGTGAGTGGTGGTGACATTCACTTGACAGAGAAGAGAGGGGCAGAACTGTGGGGGCAGAGGTTTAGTTTGAGGTACTCAGGGGAGTTGAGTTGGAAATTCAGATGTGAAGCTCCAGAGAGAATTCTGGGGCAGATGTGAAGAAGTGAGAGTCATGGGAATATTGGTTCAGTGGAAGCCACAGGTTTGGATGAGGTGATTGAGAGGGAGTACATAGGGTGAGAAGGAAGTGGACAGGTGATTGATCCTTGGAAATCAATATGTGAGAGATTAACACAGGAAGGATTAACAGAGAAGGAAGAAATGGAGCAATAGAAGGGAAGCCAGGGGTGCCTGGGTGGCTCAGTCGGTTAAATGCCTGACTATTGATCTCAGCTCAGGTCTTGATCTCAGGGTCTTGAGTTCAAGTCCTGCATTGGGCTCCACGCTGGGCATGGAGAGAAGAAGAAGATGGAGAAGGAGAAGGAGAAGGAGAAGTAGAAGAAGGAGAAGGAGAAGGAGAAGGGGAGGAGGGGAGGAGGAGGAGAAACCAAAAAAGGATATCAGGAAGCCAATGTGGGATAGGGAAAAAATATGATCAGATCAACCTAGAAGTTCTAGAAAATCAGAAAAAATGAAGAAGGGTAAGTAAAGTAGCCACTGTATTTGAGAATTTGAATGGAATTGCTAACCCCAGGAGAGAAGTTTAGGTAGAGTGATGGACTGGGGCAGTTAGTTGAAAGTTAAGCTGAGCCAGATTGTGGTCAGTCAAATGAGAGACAAGCATGAATAGGGGACACCTATTACTCTTGCAAGAAGTTTAGCTTTGAAAGGAGAGAAAGAGAGCTACAGGGTAGTAGCTTGAGGGACTGGGGTCCTCAGAGAGGCTGTGTCCTTAAAGTTGGATGACACTTAAAGAGTTATGTGCCAGAGAGAAGTCGGGGGGGGGGGGAGGGTCTCATCCCAGGGGACTGAGCAAGGCTGCTGAGGAGGCAGGAGGAGAAGTGATACAGGTGAGGCCCATGATAATAGGCTCAGCAATGTTTTACTACTCTAGTAGCTTCACCATCATTTGGTGAATATCCTTAAAACAGAACTTTTAGGGTAGATTCAGTAAATTAGGCAGAGAACTCTTCTTATATATTTTTGTATTCCCTACCATAGTATGTTAGATGGGGCAGGTATGCCTGCGATTTTTTAAATTTATTAAATCATTCCTCTGATCCAGAATCAACAACACTCTATTGCTTACAGGGAATGAAAGTAGAAACCAGTTCAAGCCCTTCGGCATCTAGCTAACATGGAGGTCTGCACCAGTTTCCACTGCGGCTGTCCTCTCTGGTCAGGCCGCTGTGTTGGCTTGCCCACAAATGTGCCTCGTTCATCCCGCTTCCTTCGCCCTGCTCCCACCCTATCACAATATTATCCCCCTCTGTACAATAGGGAGACTGAGAATACAATCCCAACCTATCCTAGCCTACAGGACCCTTAGGAATGTGCCATCTACCTATCTCTCCAATTACATTTGAAATCACTCTCCCCCACGCCTTCTCGCTCCTCCAACACGAGAGTATTTTCCTGCCGCCAGACATTCACCCTGACTCTTCTGCCTGGGATGCTCTTTCTTTAGCATTTTTCGTGGCTGGCTGCTTCTCATCCTTCAGGTCTCAGCCTGAATGTTGTTTCATCTCATGGGATGAAAGTCGATCTATGCAGAGTACATCTCGCACCCCATTATGAGCGATCATAATACATTTTTTATTTCCTTCAAAGCACTGAGAACTCTACTTATATTGTTTATTGTCCTTCCCTCCTTCCCCTAACAGAATGGAAGCTCCATGAGGGCTCTTCCCAGTCTGTCCAGTCTCCTTCTTATCCCCAGTGTCCACTCTAGTGCTTGACAAGTGCTTTATGAGTATGTTTCGCGAGTAAATGAACAGCTCTTCCATAGTCTCAAACCCCAGCTTAAATCCCACCTCCATAGTTAATAATAATAGCTTATATGGATTGAGTGCTTCCTTTGTTACATATGTTAACTTACCTGATGGGCCCCCTCCCCCATTCACCTCCTGTAACTCATACAGTAGTTACGACCTAAGCCACACATTCTGTGTTTACTTGAAATTTAGCCTCCTGCTTTGTTATTTGATATATTACATGCATCACTCTTTTTTGCTCCAATGACATGAAAATTGTTGGTGCTCCCCCATAGCATTCAGAATGTTCAAGGTATGCTGAGTGACTAAAGATATTATACACATAATAAAAATGTTGATAAGGGGGATGCCTGGGTGGCTCAGTTGGTTAAGCATCTGCCTTTGGCTCAGGTCATGATCCCAGGACCCTAGGATGGAGTCCCACATTGGACTCCTTACTCAGCAGGGAGCCTGCTTCTCCCTCTGCCTGCCGCTCCCCCCTGCTGTGCTCTCTCTCTCTGACAAATAAATAAATAAAATATTTAAAAAGAATTTTTAAACTTTGATAAGTTATGCTTATTATAAACTTCAGACAGAAAATCAAACCCAATATACAAGTGGACAAACTTCATTCTACCAGTAAAATGTCAAAATGGTTAAGGCAAGATAGTTTGAACTTTGAGGTAGGAGATATGCAGTTCGATCCCCTCCATTTCCAGAACAATTTGCTAAAATCTTAACTTTCTAGAAAAAAAATTGTCTAGCCTGGCAAAAATGCTTGCAAAACCAAGCTTCATTTCACACTTCTCAGTGCTGTGGCAGGTTTCATAAGAAAGGTTCCCAGCATGAAGCATTGACTATTGGGTTTTGAAATATCTGCTTTGCTGTGTTGTGGAGTCCCAAGCTGAAGGGCCCTGCGGTGTTTATGATCTCTAGGCAGTGGATTGGAGAACTTGGAGTCCATCTTGATGAAGATGGCAGGAGGAAGATCCTCCCAAACTCCTCTAGATTCTTCTCCAATCTGGAAATTCAGCCCCACATCTCACCTTGGGTTTCAGTTGCAACCTGCTAGCTCAAGTTTTGAACTCAGATCAAAAGAAACATCCCTGGTCTCCAAAGAATCCACCCTTCGTTGTAAAAGATGACTTCAGGGGAAGTCTGCTCTGCTTACCCCACTGGGTATGGCCCTCCCCAAGGCTGTTAGTAAGCTTGGAATCCCCAAGGGTTCTTATCGCTAGCACTCTACCCTTGAGTGAACCGCAAGAGTCACTCCTGAAGTCTTGGGCTCTGAGTACACACGGTAGTGATTTTCTTCTTGGGTTCCACCCTGGAGCAGATGTGTACAATCAGGAAAATGTCACCCAACCTGTCTCTCCTCATCTGACAGGTCAGCCAAAGCACCCATCCTTCTGGGTGTCCTACTGGATGTGCTTCCTCGAAGAGAGTCTCCCTCCTATTAAAAAAGGTATCTTCTCTTAAATGAATCTTAAGCTCCACAGAAACAACTGTTCATTGCAATAGAATATGGGCAATGCTGTACTTTGCCAAGGATTGTTTTTCTGCTTCTTCAGTGGTCAGGGATGTAATTAAATGCCATCATTCTAATGACACACATTTTCCATTCCAGCTGCTTGAAGTTCCTTCTCTGCTAAATACTTTAGTAATTATCTCTTTGGCCACTACCTGCCTCCCCCAGGGAATGGCCTGCCAGAATGACCTCTACTCCTCCTTCCATTTTAGAGTCCCTATAAACTAGGAAGAACTCTTGCCATCTTGAGTGATGTCATGATGTAGCTTATTTATTTATTTATGGGAGTGGAATGTGGCTCTTTTCTCACTTTGAATTAGGACCACTGGGGACAAGCACCGCCAAGGTAGTCATGATTTACCAGAATGCCAGTTTTCCAAAATTCTTAAGTGTACAACATTCCAGAGTGTAGATGGAATAAGAGGAAAGAAGACAAAATTTATTGTCATAATCCTGTATGGCTAGCTTTGGGCAAAGCCAAGTCCTCAATATTCACGCAAAGGCTCATATTTAGATACTGATGTTATCTCCAAGTGAGACTGTAGAATCCCAATGTTTGTGTGTGTGTGTGTGTGTTAGCAGATCACTCACCAAGTGTAAATAAACATTTAAAATATGCCACACAGGGCGCCTGGGTGGCTCAGATGGTTAAGCGTCTGCCTTCGGCTCAGGTCATGATCCCAGGGTCCTGGGATCGAGTCCCGCATCGGGCTTCCCGCTCCTTGGGAGCCTGCTTCTCCCTCTGCCTCTCTCTCTGTCTCTAATGAATAAAGAAATAAAATCTTAAAAAAAAAAAAAAAGCCACACATACCTGCTCTATGCTTTTTTATTTGTTCATTTAATATATCAGGAACCACCCCCCCCACCCCCGGCAAGAACCAGTCCCAATCTCTTGGGGATCCTACCACTAGCGGGGGACAGGGTGAAAAGGAGACTTGGAGGATGGGTTTGGGGGCAGCAGCAATTGCAGAGTCAGACCCCCGGCCTCAGAGGTTTGGGCCCCGTGCTCCAGCGGAAGCCCACGAAGGCCAGACGGATGGAGGGACCAACGCACGGCTTGGGCCACGGCAACGCAAGACGGCCTCGCCGCCACCTGCAGGCGAGCTAGGGGCGGGGCCTCGCTGGGATGGGGCTGTGCGGCGGGCGCGGCGGGCGCGGCGGGGCGGAGCGGTGGCTTCGCGCCGGCCGCGGGGAGGGAAGGCCCGGGCCGGGAGAGGTGGGTCGGTGGCGGGCCGGGAGCGGAGGCCGGCCCCCGCGGCGGCTCCGGAGGCGCCCTGGGCCCCGCGCGCTGGCGCCGGGCGGGGCCGTGGCGCCCGCGGCCTGTGAGCGCCCGGAAGGGCCGAGCCTGCGCGCTCCTGGCGGCCGCGGGCTGGCGGCGGGGGCGCGGCGGGAGGGGCTTCGAGCGGGCCGGCTTTTCGTTTCCGTGTTCCTCCTTTTCTCAGGCTCATCCCCAGACCGGAAGGTGCGGGGCCGAGCGACGCACAGACCCACCCGCTCTGACCCCCTGGTGTTTGGCCGCGAGGGCGCCCCTTCCTCTCCGGACCCCGCCCATCAGAGCGGTTTCAGGGTGCGCCTGTAGGGACGTAGCTCCCCCAGGTGAAAAGTTAGCGTTTAGGCGTTTTGAAGTTGGTAGTTGGGGGGAAGGAGAAACACTCGCGTGGGGCAGAGGAGATTCCAGAGGGAGAGCCGTAAGGAACGCACAGGCCTTCGCCCGAGGAATGCCTCTTTGCTCTAGGCCGGTGGCGTGAGTTGGCCAGGCCCCGGACCCCTGCTTTTACCCCTCCCGGAGTTCCGCATAGCCGCCGGGGAGCAGCTTCGGGGCCAGGCCGATGTGACCCCTTGAAAGCTTGCACCCTGATTTTTTTTTTCTTTTTTTTTTGGTCTCACATCTAGATCCTTGACTCAGTGACGCAGAGCCTTTCAGGGCTGGCTGCAGGCCAAACCCCAGCCTCCCGATGCAGCCTGAATCCAGCCAGTGTGAAGAGGAGACCCCTTCCCTCTTGTGGGGTTTGGATCCTGTGTTTCTAGCCTTTGCAAAACTCTACATCGGGGATATCCTGGACTTGAAGGAGTCCCGCCAGATACCAGGTATGTCGCTGGTGGGCCTGGAGGATGCCCAGTGCTGCACCTGTCCCTCACCCTTCTTTCCCCAAAGCTGCAGGAAGTTGGGGCTTGGTGGCTTTCAGGAGAGCCTTCCTTGCTGCAGGCTCTGAAAATGACCTAGCGTGGACTCTCGAATGAATATATTTCTGTGCAAGTTCAAAAGTCTAAATCTTATTTTTATTTTTAAAATAAATGCTTGGGGAAGTAATCTTTGTACCCAGGAATGGTTTTTTTTGTTTGTTTGTTTTTTGGGTTTTTTTGTCTGGCGTTGAGGTCTTTCATATTTTAACATGCTCAGTTATTTTTCTTTGGAACAGCTCTTGGTGGAAAGCTCACTGGACCAGACGTTTCTAGACCTTGTTCGCTTTCCTAACAGTGCCTCTTACCTGGCCTGGGCATGTGACTCACCTGCAAAGCTTAGATGTCATCTTTGTAAAAATGGGGATTAACCAGGCCTGATTTTCTTGTGGGGTTTTGTTTTGTTTTCTGTTAATCAGAACCAAATAATATAAATTCATTGAGAGGAAAGACATATGCCTTATTCATCTACATAATTCCACTGCTTAGAACAGTGACTGGCATGTGGTGGGCCCTCAAAAAAATAGTAATTGGAGCAACAAAGCATTATAAATGTAAAGTTAAAGAAATCACTTTTTTTTTTTGTTTTAAATGGTGGTTACTAAAGATAGGTTCTTCATACCTAAAAACGTAACAAATATAATTTGGGGTAGATTTAAATAATTCACATAGCTGTGTATGGATCTTCACATGCTTGTGCTATGTGAGAAGTTTGGTTAAACTCTTTGCTATTTTGAATGAATAGCAAGCTGTGAGTCAGTCAAGAAGCTCAAGTATGCACAGTTTTAATGAGAGGATGTTCTGTATGTTTCCAGTTCTATGTACAAATATATTTGGATGACCTTATTCTAAAGCCTTTTGTGCAGATTTTTCACCACACCTTGGTTTCTTAATTATTGTTGGAAATGGTCTGTGTTTGGTTTTATGTTTTTTTTCTTGGAAGGCAGCCGTCCTCCCCCACAGTTGTCCATTTTCCAGAACAGGCTGGTATTCTCATAGCTCGTCTCAGGAAGAAAGCAATTCACACCAAATGCCAGCCTTGCATTTGAAATAAAGGTCTTATGGAGGTGCTCAGGGAAATATCAGGGCATGATAGGGGCTTAACTCGTCCTGTGGGTAAAGGACTTTATGATGTATTAACAGCCAACCAAGGAAAACGGATCCTGATGGTCTTTACTCGGTCACTGGTAATACTGTTTCAGATGTGCTTTTGTTGCCCGGTGGACTGGGGAGACTTGTGACCCTGAGGCCTCCATCCAGCCCTTCCCAGGGATGTTGCCAGAGGCTCTTGGTCTCATTGCAAGAAAGAATTCAAGGAGAGACCAGACACAAGGGTTGAGCGGTGCAAATTGGAAAGTTTATTAAAGTGAGAGTACACTCTCGACAGGGAGAAAAACCATAAAAGACTCTTAACTTTAGGAATCAAACTGACGGTTGCCAGAAGGTAGGCATGGTGGGGGGGATGGGGTAACTGGGTGATGGGCATTAAGGAGGGCATGTGATGTGATGAGCACTGGGTGTTGTATGTAACCAATAAATTGATGAACTCTATCTCTGAATATAAATTGAATTTAAATAAAATTTAAAAAAATAAAGTGAGAGCACACTCTCAAGATGTGAGAGCAGGAGAGCCCAAGGGAGAGCTGCACCCCAAGTTTTGGGTTCCTGCCTTTTACTGACAGTTGTTAATTAGGGGGTAGAATATTTATTACTTGGGGAGGGATTTTTTTTTGGAGGAGTGGGGTTTTGTGCCTTTTCTCCCTTACTTGGCCCAGGTTTTTGGCCTTCTTTGTCTTGAGCCTGTCTGGTTTGATCCAGCTTCTTATGGCTTTGTTTTTGAAGTGCTGCCAGGAGAGGTCTCTGACCTTCCCCCGTAGCTAGCCATGACTCCCCCTTTGCTGGCCTCCAGGCATCCTGTTAAAAACCTAACTAACTGCTGACTCCTAACAGTTTTTAAAATGAAACATTATGCTTGAAGCAGACAGCAACCATAAATTCACAAGAGTGATCCTCTTGAGATTATACTGTAGGGCTCTAGGGGTGGGAAATTCCCCTAGTCTGGGTTTTTATTTCTGTGTTGTTTTCATGGTTGTTTTTGGTTTGGTTTGGGGATAGGGGATGTCCATGCCTGAAAGAACACCGAGTGATTAGAGGACTGGCATTTCCAGCCAGGTGACATCAGACCAACACCTTGGGAAAGGAGAGGGCTAGAGATTGAGTTGTCATTTGGCCAATGATTCAGTCATGCCTGGGTAATGAAACCCGAATAAAAACTCTGGACACCAAGGCCCAGGTGAATTTTCCTGGTTGGTAATCATACATTGATTTGTCAGGAGGGTGATGAGTTCTGTGACTGTGGAAGCTTTGTGCTTGGATTCCTCCAGACCTTGTCCAGTGCATCTCTTTAGTTAGTGAGTCCTGATTTGTACCCTTCATTTTGAAACTATAGTCATAAGTCTAGTACCTTCCTGGGTTGTGTCCCATTCTAACAAATCGCCAAAGCTGAGAGAGTTGTAGGACCCCCCGAAGTTGTAGCCAGTTGGTCAGAAGGGTGGGTGGCCTGAGAATACCCAAATTCAGGGCTGGTGAGTGAAGAAAGCAATTTTGTGGGAGACTGTGCCCTTAACTTGAAATTTGACCTTACTCTGTGTATTTGCCATGCGTCAGAATTGCCTTGCAAAATGGTTGCAAAATGTCAACTCCTCTAAATTAATCTGCAGTTTTAGTGTTAAACAAATAAAAAATATTATGAAAAAATCTTATGAAGTTTGTGGTGGTGGTGGTTTTGGGGTCTTTTTTTTTTTTTTTTTAATTTATTTTTGAGAGAGAGAGTGTGTGAGTATTGGGGGAGGGGCAGAGGGAGAGAATCTTCAAGTAGACTCCCCGCTGAGCATGGAGCCTGCCTATCTCACCACCCACGAGATCATGACCTGAGCCGAAATCAGGAGTTGGCTGCTTAACCAACTGAGCCACCCAGGTGCCCCAGTTTTGGGGTCGCTTTTGTTTTATCTTTTTGTTTATAGCATACAGAAATAATCTTTATTATTCTAAATATCTGTGTCAGACTTTAATAATGGGATAAATAGTGAATCTGTTGCTTAAATGAAAATACAATACTTATTTAATTCTAGAGGGTCCGATGAAGTGGAAATTCATAAGAATTATATGAAAAATAGTATCTTAGGCATTTGAGTACTATCGGACATCAATTAAATAATGACAGACTAAAAAGAGATAAATCAAAAGTACTTTTAAAAGAGAGGAACCAGGCAAATGTCTTACCGTGGTGGTGGCTGCCCGGGGATGGGCTGATGTGAGAGCCGAATCAAACCTGCGTGTGTGACCCTGGGTCCCTGAACCCTTGCCACCTGACCCTCCTCCTTCCTGGGGACCTCATGGTCTGGGGGATCCCCGGGTATGTTTTGGCGTCGGGGGGCTGTGTGTGGAACAAAGGCAGCAGGACCTGAAGAACCATGTGGGGAAGGCTGTAGCTGGAACTCCCAATCAGCCAGAATCTGTTGTTTGGGTTGTTTTCTTTTCTTCTAAAGATTTTATTTATTTACTTGACAGAGAGACACAGCGAGAGAGGGAACATAAGCAGGGGGAGTGGGAGAGGGAGAAGCAGGCTTCCCGCGGAGCAGGGAGCCCGATGTGGGGCTCAATCCCAGGACCCTGAGATCATGACCTGAGCCGAAGGCAGATGCTTAACGACTGAGCCACCCAGGCACCCCGTTTGGGTTGTTTTCTGTTCTTTGCTTCCTGAGCTTGCTTTCAGTCAACAAAGCCGCCATCCAACTTTTTTTTTTTTAGCTCTTTTGTCATAGAAGAGAATCTTGTGTTGATAGGAGGAAGTGGTCTTCTCCAATTCTTGTCCATGCCTCCGGCCGCCATCTGCTCAGTTGCGCTCCTGATACATGTGGTTCATGTTTCTCTACACGTGGACACGTGTCTTCTCTATTCCCAGGCAGTGTGTTTTCTCCTCAGTTGATTTTCTCTGAATGTTTTTTTTTTAAAGATTTATTTATTTATGTGAGAGAGAGAGCATGAGAGTGGGGAGGGTCAGAGGGAGAAGCAGACTCCCCGCTGAGCAGGGAGCCCGATGCGCGGGGCTCGATCCCGGGACTCCAGGATCATGACGTGAGCCGAAGGCAGATGTTCAACCAACTGAACCACTCAGGCGTCCTCTCTGAATGTTTGTTTGTTTGTTTAAAGATTTTGTTTTTATTTATTTGACAGCGAGAGACACAGCGAGAGAGGGAACACAAGCAGGGGGAGTGGGAGAGGGAGAAGCAGGCTTCCCGCCGAGCAGGGAGCCCGATGCGGGGTTCGATCCCAGGGTCCTGGGATCATGACCTAAGCTGAAGGCAGACACTTAACGACTGAGCCACCCAGGCGCCCCTCCTCTCTGAATGTTTTGATTCAACCCATGTGTTATTTTCTTCTGAATTTGTTCTCCATTGTTCAGAGACGCTTTGGAGATGTTTTCTGCATCAATTCCTTGAGATTGGAAGGATTTTTTGCATCTTTGAGTGACTCTGTCTGCCCTTGAAGGCCGGCCATTGTCAGTCTAGAAGATAAAAGTTTAGGGGGCTCTGCTTTCTGTGCTTTTTTTTTAGGAAGTCTGTTGTGTCCTCAAGTGAAGACCTGTTCAGATTTTTGTCGAGTGGCCCGGCATAGTTTGTAACGTTGGAGGATTGGCCTCCATCGCAGGTGACTTGAGGATCTCACTGGCTTGTGTCATTAGTCCTGTCTTATCACCTTTTTCGTATGCTGCAACCCAGGCAGAACACCTTTTGACTAGCTCTGTTTCCTTTCTCAAAGTGTGTCGGCTCTATACTATAAAAACTACCATAGCAGCACATACCAGGGTGTCCCAGGGAAACCCAAAGAGTCCTGGGACTGTCTTGAGTTTCCAGACGTCACCAGCAGAGCACCCTGTAGTGGCTCCAGGACCTGCTGGGAGACATTTCGGGATAGGCAGTGGGCTTTCCAGTGGGTCCAGGGACCTCCATCGTTCCGCTTCCTACTACTAATGTCCTGGGGGCCACAACTGACCATATGGAACTCTGGAGTGTTCTCTCTCTAATACCAAGAAATGCCTGGCAACCAGGACAGACCATCCATTGAGATGGGGTAGGGGAGGCCACTCAGGTTCTAGAAAACGGTTCTCTCTAACTTTGCTCTGCCCAGTGCACAAATAGAAAGTGTTATTACCTGTCAGTGCATTTGGGGAAGCAGAAAGGGCTGGCTGCAGCCAGAGAACAGCCTGGAGCTCAGGCCTCTCCAAGCCCCCCCAGCCCTATAGCAGACCCGAACAGTGCCATGCCATGGTTCTTCTCTGCACATGAGCATTGGTCAGGGCACGGTGCTGGGGTACACTTCAGTAGAGGACTCCGTGCCCACATCCCTAGGGGGAGGCTCATTCTCCTGATTTAGACTTCTTCCTGTGGTCGGGATGTCTTGAGCTTGCCTACAGCAGTCCTGCAGGGCTCTCCCTCTGAAGTCACCCTTTTTCCTTTGTGTTTGGTCAGGCAGACAGGTGGTGGCAAAGGCCCCAAGGGCCTTACCAAAGGTAGTAACTAAGGGACCTGGATATCAATCCTAAGAACTCAGGAGAAGTCGATTGGAACTCTCCTGCTCTTAAAATTGCATGGATTTTCTGTGGAGCCAGTTTGAACCCACTCACCCTGTGTTCCTGGAAGGGGGTGACCCTCCTTTGGGGATGACTCAGTGACTCCGGCTCCTTCCCTTGTGTGGTCCTGCCATTTCAGCTCACAGCCCCCACGGTTGCCCCGTGCTCGTGGTCTCTAATCCAGCAAGTCATCGTTAGAAGGATGCCCTGCCAGGGAGAGGGCCCTTCTTTAAGCTAACTTTGCCACCATTGTTTTCCTTCCAACCACATCTCACTCTCCTAGAATCTTCACCTGGCTGAGGCTCAGAGCCTCCTTATACATCCTCTGGGACTCACCTTGAGTGACTCGTCCCCAGCCCCTTTATCCACATGGGGTACAAGAGAGCCGTCAGCGGAGGCCAGGCTGGGGATTTTGAAGGGCATCAGGGTTCAGGCCACAGGTCTGTCCCACCCCCACCTCCCCAGGCTTGGTGGGGAGGGAGGAGGTGGCCAAATGTCTGTGCTGAGGAATGTTTGTTTATAGGTCAGATCTTTATTTAAAAAGGAAATTGCTTAACTTAAACGGTTACAGCCTCTTTCTGCAAGGAAAGAATTCCGCCATCATGGGAGGAAAAACAGGCTGGAGAAGATTTTAGTGTGGACTCATGAGCTGCAGGAGACAGATGCACATGCAAGTAGCTTACGCCAAAAGGGTCAGGGTGCTGGGGGGCCGCAGATGGGAAGCTCTGCAAGGGCAGGACAGCACTGGGACCTGGGGGTGGAATCAGGGACTCCCTGCAGCCCGAGTCCCTCTGTCTGTTTTCCTTCCCAGGTCCAAAACAGGCCTCTGGGTATTAATGTAAGGTTTATCCTCTCAGGTTTCTCCCCTGGCAGGAACCTGTCTGCTGGCATCTGTCCTCTGGGTTTTGAAAATAGTTTTAAAATAGTTTTAAAAACGAGAAGTTGGCGGGGGGGCACCTGGGTAGCTCCGTGGGTTTAGCGTCCAACTTGACTTTTGGTTTTGGCTCAAGTCGTGATCTCATGGGTTGTGGGGTCAAGCCCGGCATCAGGCTCCACACTCAGCGGGAAGTTTGCTTGAAGATTCTCTCCCTCTGCCCCTCCCCCCCATTCACTTGCACACACGTGCTCGCTCTTCCTCTCTCTCAAATAATTTTTTTTTTAAAGAGAGAAGTTTTTGATTTGTAATCTGCTGGCTCCAAAAAGCAGCATTTTGTAACCTAATTATCTTCTCTTTAAAAAAAAAACAACAAAATCACTGCTAATTCATAGAAATGATGACTGGCTTCCTAGAAAAGTGCTAGTAAAGAAGTCAAAGAAGCCTTTCTTGTGATTTCCTCTCTTTTGCAGTCCCTCAAAATAGATAGTCTCATAATCTAATGACTGTTTTCAGGCCCGTTGTGAGAGGTCCACAAGGAGGCACATTTCATTTTCACAAGTGGAAAGAAGATTAACCAGATCTAGTTGGGCAACATTGGTTTTCTCTTTTCTGCATTAGGACAAGCTTCATTAAAGCCAAACTTTCTACTTTGGACCCTTAAGGAAAAGACGTCTGAATTTCTTGGGGCCTGCCATTTCTCAAGGACTGATTTTTTTTTTTTAATTTCAGGTGTATTTTTTTACAATGGGCACCCAATAAAGCAGGTAGAGATCCTGGGAACTGTAATTGGAAGGAAAGAAAAAGATGCTTTCTACAGTTACGGAGGTAAGAAAAATTGTGCCTGACATTGAGTTTTTGTGGAAGGACCTCACTTAGCTGAACATTTGCATTTGAAGCAACTGACGCCTTTCAGAGCAGCTGGGGACCCACAGAACCCATGCACTTGTCCTTTATTAGGAGCCCCTTCGAGCCACCGACATGGACTAAGTGTAAAATGAGGCAAAAGGTAGGAATGATGCTGATGAATACTGTCAAATGACAGCTGATGGGGAGTTAGAAAAATTAAAATACGACCATGTAGGATCTCTGGTTGGTAAGGGACAGACACCTGATACCCGAGGGTGTAGCTATAAATAGCAATGGATGGTAGCAGATGTTTATATTGATACCTTTAACAATAAAAAGGCCAGATTAATGTTAAGGAAGACTCTTCAAGAAGACAGGGAAGAATGAAAAATAATTGATAAGATTTATATTCAGAACAGTATTTTTAAAAAGCCTTATGGTACTCAGGGGTGAATATCCATTATCAGAAAATTTCCCTTCCCTCGTGATGATACAAACTAAATAAAGGATTTCTATAGTTTGGACACGAGCCATTAGTGTCGTCTTGAGTTTTGTCATTGAGTTTAATGTGTAAGCATTTTCATCTGTTGCCTTGTGCAGCCCTTAGAGTCTCTGGAGTTAAGAGGCCAAGCTAGATATTTTGTGGGAAGCCTAACTTTGGATCCTAAACCTTTGCTGTAATTGACAGTGTTGCTCTCTGTTGTGCTGCCTTGGGTTTGTGTCCTTGCTCTACTTGTGGAAAGAGAGAAGGCAGTTGAACTAGGGGACGAAGAACATTTCACTGGCGGTCTGTGCGTGATAGATAATGTATAGTATAGATGCAATGTCATTGCATGTCTTCAACACGTATTCATTTTCCTGAAGATGATTGTCTCGTGCTTATGAAAGCATATGTGAGGGGTGAGGTTTCTCATGCCTTCTTCTTTTCCCCAGCATATATTTTTTTAAACTCTGAAAGGGATCATCTTGTCAGGCATCCCCATGCTGGATTTCTTCTCAGTTTTATTTTACCAAAGGTATTGGTTCTGTTTTTCTCCAGACAATTCAGTAAGTATTCACCAGTTTCCTAAAGCATACTCAGCTGTGGGCAAGTACATTTTCTGTAGTGTAACAAAGTACTTCCTCTCCAAATACCAGTGATGAAGTAATAATTTCAGGTTACAAAGCACTTTCACATGTGAAATTTAGTGTTATTCTCCCCCTAATGTTTTGAAATAGAAAGGACAGATGTTCTTTCCATTTTGTAGATGAGGAAAATAAGGCTCAGTCACTTGCTCAGGGTTCCACTGATGGAGGTTTATAGGCCCAATCTATTTACTGATTCCATTTGTGGTGTATAGTCTCCACATAACTCAATTTGATTTTTCTCTCTCCCATCACCTCACCACCCACCCCTGCACCAGAAATCAACTTTGTCTTTTTTTGCCATTTTATTGATGGTACATGACAAAGTAGGGCTCCCCAAATGCTCCCCTTCTCATGGGGTTCTGGGATGGAAACTCTGTAGAGGTCAGGAGATTATAAGTGTGTTGGGGGATGAATTAGGGCAAGGACTCCCCAGCAGCTGAGGTCTCTCTCTTCCTCTTGCTCTCACTGGGGTTGCTGGTCCAAGGGGGCTCTTACTCCTTGGAGGCCATGTGGACCATAAGGCTCACCACCCAGTTGCTGTAGCCAAATTGATTGTTGTACCAGGAAATGAGCTTGACGAAGTGGTCATTGAGGGCAGCGCCAGCCCCATCATTGAAGGTGGGAGAGTGGGAGTCATTGTTGAAGTCGCAGGAGACAACTTGGTCCTCAGTGTACCCCAGGATGCCCTTGAGGGGACCCTCTGATGCCCGCTTCAAAACCTTCTTGATGTCATATTTGGCAGCTTTCTCCAGGTGGCAGGTCAGATCCACGACTGGCACATTGGGGGTGGGGACATGGAAGGCCATGCCACTGAGCTTCCTGTTCAGCTCAGAGATGACCTTGCCTACAGCCTAGGCAGCACCAGTAGCAGGACGGATGGTGTCCTGGGCAGCCCTTCAGCCATCACACCACAGCTTCCCAGAGGGACTGTCTGTGGTCTTCTGGGTGGCAGTGATGGCATGGACCGTGGTCATGAGTCCTTCCATGATGGCAGAGTTGTCATGGATGACCTTGGCCAGAGGGGCCAAGCAGTGGGTGGTGCAGGAGGCACCGCTGACAATCTTGAGGGAGTTGTCCTACTTCCCATGGTTCATGCCCATCACAAACATGGGGGCATCAGCAGAAGCAGAGATGATGACCCTCTTGACCCCACGCTCCAGCTGAGCCCCAGCCTTTTCCATGGTGGTGAAGACCCCAGTGGACTCCACTACAGACTCAGTACCACATCACCCTGTTTGATGTTGGCAAGATCTCACTCCTGGAAGATGGAGATGGGCTTTCCGTTGATGACAAGTTTCCAGTTCTCAGCCATGACTGTGCCATGGAATCTGCCATGGTGGAATCATACTAGAGTGTGTAGACCATGTTGTTGAGGTCAGCGATGGGTCATTGATGGCGACAGCACCTACTTTGCCAGAGTTAAAAGTGGCCCTGGTGACCAGGCACCCAATAGGGCCAAATCCGTTTACTCTGACCTTCCCCATTGTGTCTCAGGATTGCTGGGGCCCTGCGCCGGAAGATGCGGCTGTCTGTCAGATGCGGAGGAGCAGAGAGCCCATCTGGTCTTCGATTTTCTATTTTTTAGGTCACATGAAAGAGGCTGTTTGAGGATGTTCGTCCTGGCCCTGAAACCAGGCCAATTATTGTAAGTGAAGCCCTTTCACCTGTGACGTGAAGGGGCTTCACTTAACCCCTTTCCCATTCTAAAAAGATTAAGGAGATAGGTGTGACTATTCCCCAATAAATGTTCTCTTTAGGATGGATGTTAGAAGAACAGGACACATCTGTGGGCAGTGGGAAACCGAAAAGCATCTGAAGGTTGGAGTAATTGAGAGTAGAAAGAACTTGAGTTCTTGTGAGGCCTGTTCAGGGGAGAGCTGCACCCTCCCTGCTATCCTCAGGGCCAGCTTGGCTCTTGAGCCACCGGCCAGGCGGCCACTCCTTGCTGTCCTGGGTCCTGCTCCACCTGACTCACCATCGTCCTGGCCAGGGGGCTGTTTCCTGTTCCCACTGACTCATTCCATTGCTGAAACAAAAGGCCAGCGGCCCAGGCAGTGCTGCCCAACTGGGGCGGATGTTGTGCGGCTCTGCAAGGATGCTCCCCTTCCGGGGCATTCCAGCCCCCAGACCTCAGGCTGCCAGGGCACAGCACCTGCCAGGAGGCCTTACAGACCAGAAAGTCTGAGGGTCTGGTGGCCGTGCCCAGAGCACTCAGCACGTGACAGCAGCTCAGGCTCAGACCTAGAATCCTGGGAGGCTACCATCAGTGTCTTCACATTTTCTAGAACAAATGTTCATGTGCTCATATTTTTTTACTTTACATGATAAACCAGGATTTTACACTGGCAGAGAAGTGGTGTGCCTAGAGGTGTCATACAGTTTGTTTGTTTTTTTAACTCAGAATGTCCTTATTGATTTATTTTAAAATGATACTCATTATAAAATAAAATTTAAAACTGGAGAAAATTTTACTGAAGTACATAAAAATTATATGAAACCCTATAAATAAGATAAAAACAATGTCAGTGTTTGGGTGAACATCCCTCCTGATGTTTTTCACTTGTTTCTATTTGGAGAAATATAGATATGTCTTATTTCCTTGTACTATTATGCATATTTCTTTCTCTTAATATTTCCGAAATGAGGCTTACAGTCAGCATGTACATTCAGTGTGGAGTTCCTTTCCAACACTCCAAAAAAAACTGCTATTACCATTTCAGGGTCTTAAAATCATTTCTGTCAAAATACGCTATTTAATGTTTTACACAAATTAGATATAAGATTTCTTTTTTAAAATGAGGCATGAATATCTTTTAACAGCAATGAACATAAATCTTCACTATAACTTTTTATTCTCATATGGTATGCCATTGTAATTTATTTAACCAGTTCCATATTTATAAGCATTTAGATTATCTCCAACTAACAGCATTATAAACAATGTTGCAGCAAACAGCCTTATACAAGATGTATAAATCTGTGTGTGTATTCTGTTTTTCTCTTCAGGATAAATTCCTAGAAGTAATCACTAAGTCAAAGGGCATACACATTTAAAAATTCAACACGTTTCCAAACTTGCTCTTTAGAAATTTGATAGAAATTTACACTCCCACTAACAGCATATGAGGGTATCAATATTTTTAATGTTTGTCATTCTAATAGTTGAGAAATTATTTAAGTTCTTTTTCCGGTAACTAATGAGTTTAGTGTACTCACACATGTTTATTTGGCCATTTTTATATCTTCCGTAAATTGTGTGTTCTTTTTCCTTGACATTTTTTCTCTGGTGGTCTTGGACTTTTCTTTATTCATTTGTATGAGCTATTTATTTATTTATTTGAAGGGGGAGGGGCAGAGGGAGAGAGAGAATCTCAAGCAGACTCAGTGCTGAGTGCAGACACGGGGCTCGATCTCACAACCCTGAGATCATGACCTGAGCCAAAATCAGGAGTCAGACGCTTAACTGACTTATCCATCCAGGTGCCCCTGTTGTGAGCTCATTATACATTAAGACACTAGCCCTATCATTTAGAAAATTGCTATACGGTATTAATTTTTAATTGGTCATCTATATCAGACTTTTAAAAATGAGTTCTGATTTTCAGGTCTCTTTAAAGAAGTCTCTTCCCACCAACTATAAGCCCAAGGTTCAAAAGTATTTACCCATATTTTCTTCTTATTTTTTTAAGTTTACCTGTTTTACATTTAATAAAATCTATTTAGAATTTATTTTAGTATAAGAAATATTTTTCTTGGCTTCTGCTTTCAACTCAGGTTTAAACCAGCAATAAAAAATTTGCCTTACATTCTGTATTACATGTGCATTTACAACAGTCTCACTGATGATTTTTTAAAAAATCATTAAGCCCACTGATCTCTTTTTTTGAGTTTTCCGAAATTAGACAAAGAGAAAACACCTCTCATAGCAAACATCTCCAGTTCCTCTGCAGTTATAAATCCAAGTGCAATAGAAATTCTGTGTGTGTGTGTTGCACTAGGGATAAAATAAGCCAAAATTATTTATGTGATCAAAATATAATTATTTTCCATTATGAAAACAAAACTCTGCTCTTCTGCAATATAGTTGGCTTTCCTTACGTCCCCTTCAGTGGTAAGGACTGGGCAGAAGCTCATTCACAAAGAGACGTGCGGGTCAGGAAATTTGGGATGCTTTGTCTTGGGAAGTCATCAAGCTAGTGAAAGAGCAGACGGTGAGAGAAGGTTGCGTCCCGCGTCCTCTCAGCCACGGGCTGTGTCAGCACGCTCTTGCTTCACGGTGGGAGAGCAAGGCCGATTTTGTATGTGAGCATTCATTGAGATTTTTGTACTTAACTTCCCGAGGACACCGTTTTTTAGGAGCGGCAGGGTAAGTGAAATGTTGACTACCTTCCGCTAGGCTCTCCTATGCCAGCGACCCATGCAGACAAGCAGTTCCCAGACCGGGCTGTTGAAAAATGTCACTTTGGGGTATGGCCGAATGCAGTGACGACCTGCGAATTCACTGGCAGTGCCCAAATCTCTCTTTTGCCCTTTTCTGCTTCTCTTGCAGTAGATGACAGCACTGGAGTTATAAATTGCATCTGCTGGAAAAAGTCGAACAATACCGAGTCTTCATCAGGTACTTTTATTTGACAGTCCTTTACTTTTTTTACTCAGGGTGGCTCATCAGAACAGCTGTAGGGCTGAATGTTCGTATTTGTCCACGGGTGAAATCTGTGGATCAACTGCAGATCTGGCTCCTCTGCAGACTGACGTCATAGAAGAGCTAGTTGTGTTTCTTTCTCCCGTCTTCTCTGGTGCTCACTTCCTAATGAGCCTGCAGGAGCGTGACTAGGTTGCTGGGAATTTGAGCATTTCCTTTTTACCATGGTAGTTATTATGGAAGTCAAGATATTTTAGCCTAATTGCCAGTGAGGTCAGAATCTCCATGCTCCAGGCGTATCCCTTGACCAAAGAAAGTTTTGGAGATTTTTGCTTTTACGTGATTGCCCACTACTGTGCTGCCACAATCCAGATTTTCTGAAATCTCAAAGATGTCAGAAAATCTAAAATTGATGAGAAGGTAAAATAGGATTCCTTCGAAATTAACCATTGAATAATATAAACTGAAAGGAAACTTTTTTTCTTAAAGTTTTTATTTATTTGAGAGAGAGGGTGTGTGTGAGCGAGTGAGTGAGAGCGTGAGTGGGGGGGGAGAGGCAGAAGGAGAGGGAGAAGCAGACCCCCCTGCTGAGCAGGGAGCCCGATGCGGGACTTGTTCCCAGGACCCTCAGATCATGAACTGAAGGCAGATGCTTAACCCGACTGAGCCACCCAGGCGCCCCAAAAAGAAACTTTAAAATTGTATGTTGAACACATTGACTATAACTGAAACAGCATTTGGAATTCCTTGAGTACATTTTAATAGGCCTTAGGTAGTTTTTTTTAGTTAAGTTCATAATAAAAAAAATACTGGGCAATACTGGTGATCATTTTTGGTTCTAGAGAAGCTACGGCAATTGGGACCTTGTCTTTCTGTTTGGCAGCGTACACAGTGCGGTGCATATGAAATACACAGTGGCACATGAAATACTGTCTGCTATTCTATCTAACATCTGGTGTCTGGCTCCTTGGGTGATACACGGTGTCTTTCCTCTCTGCCATTACCTGCCAGAATCTCAGCTTCCTACTTTGACCATCCTGACCAGTGGAATGCTCCTTGGCTTAATTTTCTGACGTATTTACGTTTAGAACTTGGCCATCAGTTTCCTATAACTTCAGTGTTCCATTTCCTAATTTGGGAACATCTTAATCATTGGCACTGCTTTGTTTAGGATATTTTGTAGATAAAAATTGAGAATGACAGCAGATTTTTTTTTAAGATTTTATTTATTTATTTGACAGAGAGAGACACACACAGCAAGAGCAGGAACACAAGCAGGGGGAGTGGGAGAGGGAGAAGCAGGCTTCCCGCTGAGCAGGGAGCCCGATGGGGGGCTCGATCCCAGGACCCTGGGATCATGACCTGAGCCAAAGGCAGACGCTTAACGACTGAGCCACCCAGGCGCCCCTGACAGCAGATTTTTATGCAGCTGTTTCAGAGGCAAGAAATAAATCTATAGGACAATCAGATAATTGAATTTTCATATATGTCTAGGGTATTAAAATCATTTGCAGATTTATGGTTTTTGTGTCATCAAACCCTCAATCAGAGGGTGTCGTTTGAATATATGGACTTGTTTCAGGCTATGGAGCAGCAGACTTTTTCTGTACAGGGTCAAATAGTAAATGTTTTCTGCTTTGTGGGCGCTCTGGTCTGCACCTCAACTGCTCAGCTCTGCCATAGTAACACAGAAGCGGCCACACACAGTAGGTACAGTAAAGTAAAACTTTATTTACAAAAACAGGTTGTGGATGGATTTGGCCTATGGGCTGTAGCTTGCAGACTCCTGTTTTAGACATTGTTTTAATTTTCAAAATCAACTTTTTCTTTTTAAAGAACGACATTAGGAATATTGTATAACTCTTATATTTAGTAAGTTTTTGGATAAAATGTCTACTAATACTGAGACTAAGATTTTTAAAATATTTGTAAGTAGTTGAATAGGTGAACAGTCACAGTGGGTAGCCTTAATTGGAAATTGCTTTGAGAATAAAAAGAGAGGGTAAGAATACAAGGAAAAACCCCGAAAATGATTCTCGTCATGTTATATATGAAGTGAGATTTCTAAATTATTCCCGACTAGCCTATTCTCTCCTTTTCATTTAATTGCCCTCAATTTAAAAGCTTTCCCCTGGAACGTGGCCAATGGAGACTAATTTGTTTAAACAAAATTCAGCCTGAGTCAAAATCATGTTGCAGTCCATTAAGGTAATTGAGAATAAGCTATTAACTCCTATAAATGTCCGGTTGAGTGTACCATTTAGACTAGCTTATGAGAAAAGTTAAGAAAGCCTGGCCCTTGATACTGTAACTTTAGAGGGGGTTTATCTTTCCAGCGTGGAATAGGCTACTTAAAATGAAATTCCGTCAGGCTCCAGCCCTCTCATTAGATTCACCAAATTACAGAGCTTGAGCCGTTCTTTCGGCAGTTTGGCTCACCCTTTAAATGAAAGCTGGGCCTCATTCTCAGACTGGCCGCCAGTCTGATCATTTCAGCAGTGCTGTAGGAAACATTTATTATGATGTGTTTTAAATTCAGCCTAAATACAAGACGGCTTGAGGGGACAGGAACACAGATGGAATAAACCTTTTAAAAAGTAACACCTGGGTATTTTCTGAAGAAAGCTGGTCAGCTGAGTACCATTAATGCCGATGGTGTTCTAGATTCCTAAGTGTTGGTGCTCCGTGCTCCCTAGGTTGCTGTTTCCCCTGATAGAGTAGATGCGGTAAAAGAAAAGTAATGCTGTGGCTCTTTACAAAGCCACAGTCATCTAAGTTGTATAAGATTAAAAAGACAATGGGATCAATAGGCTAATAGGGAGATTTGTTCATTCATTATAGGAACACTAAGTATATGACAAGCCAGAAATAAAACAAGAGCAGGAAATACATCAGCATTTAACAAATGTTGGCTCAGGTAGATAAAAATATTTTTAAAAGAGGTGACTCTGATCCGTATCTTCTAGCTTACATGACAACGTAAAGAAGATGGAGTTGTGTGTTTATCGCAGCAAATATGGGGTTTACGTGTTAAACTCTGATAAGTCCCTAGCTGTTAAAGCCCCGAAAACTACCATCAGTGGCAGTGGGATAGACTAAACATCTTTTCAAACTTTTATGTAGTAAAATGAAATCCAAAAAGCACAGAAAAGCAGTGGAATGGGGGGAGTGGATGTAATTAGCAGAGCTGATAAAGCTTCCCTAAAAAAAGACATGAAGGATACATAGAATGCACAAGATGATTTCTCACACGTAAAGAAATGCAGAGAGCAGATCATCTTATATAAAAACACAGAGCCTGTCTGGCAGTTTAAAAGCAAAAATAAAACGTCATGGAATCATTACGTATTTTTTAAGGTACTAAACATCCATGTGACGGAAGCCGGTGTAGGAGCTGCAAGCATGCGCCTTGACACCTTGTCAAAACAGAACGGTTTGATTGTTTTTCTGGCAAACATTCTGACAATATGTAATGAACTGTAAACCTGTTTTTACTTTTCTGTCCAGTAATTCCCAACAAAAGACCCCAAGGAAAACACAATAATTTTGTCTAGAGGGCTTCATTATTCATTTTTACAAATAGCTGACATTTATAGACCATTTCCTGTGGATCTGACATCATGCCAAGCTCATGATGTAAGGGTTAACTTACAGCATGTGCAACAACTCTGTGTGTGAGGTGGGCTCTCCTGTTACCCTCAATTCACAGTTGAGGAAACCCTGGCGCCGTGAGGTTAACAGCCTGCCCACGGTCGCAGAGCTGGTAGGAAGTAAGTGGAGATCTCAGCCCGGTCTGTCTGACTCCATTACCCAAGCACTGACCTCTAAGCTGCATCCAGTGCAGGTGATTAAAGCCAAAATAAAAAATTACAAAAAGGGGGGAGAAGGGGATATTTAATGAGACTAGCTCATCAAACTGTGGTATATTAACATGCCAATGCTCCATGATTTTTTAAAATGCTCGAGTTGTATAGATTCTGTGGATACATGTGTGTATCTGAGCTTGAGCCAGGCAGAAAATCAGAACGTCGAATTGTTTACACACACTAGCTGTAACTGGAAAATATGAGTATGCTCACAGGGCAGGAGCAGAGAATAAACAGGAAGGTGCTAGTGTCAGAGACCGCCTGGGTTCAAACCCCAGCTTTGTTGCTAGCTAGTGGTTTTACTTTGTGCAAGTTGCTTGACCTCTCTGTGACTCAGTGTCCTCCTCTATAAAATGGGGCTAATAATAAATCGGTGTAGTTGTGAGGATGAGATGTGCTAATACAGCGTCAAGTCCTCAGAACAGCACCTGTGGTACCCAAATATTCTCAGCTATGCTTCTTACTATTTAATACAATTTGAAATGAAACTTAAGTGATAGAAATTATTTAGAATTGGAAGTGCATTGGGTTATTTTCACCATGAAGTTGCTTAAGCTTTCAGTTTTAAGTGGTATGAGAATGTGCGTGTGTGTGAGAGAGAAAGAGAGAGCGTGGGTTTACCCCAGTTACCCAACGAAGATGAGAGGCGAGAGATTAGGGTGTTGAGCACCTAGTGGGAAATCAGCCTGAGGCATATTCGCCTTCCCCATAAACAGAACTGCATGTGGAGATCTGGGTCCCCTTTTCCCCTGTGCCAGACTTGTCTTCCTGCAAGGACACTTTAAAGGGTTGTTGCGAGCTGTTGCCACCAAACGCAGAACTCGGCTCGGGACCACGTAGAGCCCTTTGAATGCGCTGGCAATGCAGGAGCAGGGGAGAACCTGTCGGAGCCCTGCCAGGACTTTCTCACTAACGGGTTTTCAGGCCTCCTAGACTCTGTTCCCTTCAGCCTACTTTTGAATAATTACAACTTACGCCTTCTGTTCAGCAGAGGATTTCAGAAGGGTGTGCAGATTTCTTACAGTAGAGCCGCTAATCAGAAGTAGAAGGAATAGGTGTCTTATGTTGGTCTCACCCCAAAACTGTCACACATGCGGTGGAGTGATCGTGTTATGCATTTGTCTCTTCCGGCCCTATAGCAACTACAGCTGCTGCAGCTCTAGGGGAGCTGAACTTAACCTCACAGCTTAAGAAGCTGCAAGACACCATTGAGCAGAAGACAAAGATAGAAATTGGGGACATTATCCAGATCAGAGGTTATGTCCACATGTACAGAGAGGAACGAGAGATTCGTGTCACCACTTATTGTAAGCACAAGTTATCTCTGCCAAATTGGTTGTTATGCTGGGTGTGTGTCCAGTAAACTCTGGGTTATCTGGAAGTCAAACGGCGAAAAAGTTCAGATAAAAAGATGGAACTCTTTACTGGACGAAATTATATTTCATAACAGGTTTCTTTAGAAAAACAGCATTTTTAACTTTGTTTTGAAGAGCAGTAACTAGAAATGGGGGAAGAAAACAAATGATTTATTATATATATCTGGCAAATTTATTTGGGCCACATCAGAGTTTAAAGTACTTTGAAGTTCTGTGTGTCCGTCCATTTAGGGCAGAGTGTTCATATTCTTTAAAATGATGGCGATTTCTTGAATACCACTGAGTCCATTAACTTTGAAGGAAAACAGCTAATTGGAAATAACGATAGTCCCACATCCTCTGAGTGATACGTTTTGCAGGACTCTGGCTGATTTGGGTTGGAAATCCCACGGATGGCCCCTGTTGTTTGCCATTGTAACAGATGAGTGCATAAGCGAAAGTGCTTTCCCTGGTTCCAGTCTGCTGCCGGACAGGCCTGTGATGCTCAGGGCGTTGCATTCCCTCTCAAAGGATGACTGGGAACCATTTAGTGCATCTAGGATGTATGATCCTTGGGCACCCATAGGGAAGGAGACCCACTGGGTGCCTAGCAGCAGGTCCTCTCTCCAGGACCCTGGAGAGAGCTGATCTCATTGTAATTTCTATGGCATGTTTTCCCCATGGCTTATTAGATAAAGTAGAAGATCCTGTGTGTAACATTCAAATCGCGAGGATGCTTGAGCTGCCCAGTATCTACAGGAAAGTTTATGACCAGCCTTTCTGCAGTCCAGCCCTAGAGCAAGAAAGGTAAGCTGTGGCCTCTCACTGCTAAAGATGTATTGATGGCAGTAAGCCAAGCAGCGGGAGCCCAGATGCTGGGGTAGGCTAGGGTTCAAATCCTGAGCTGTCCACACTCATGGAGGGGCTCTGGGCAAGTCTCCTTACTCCCCATGTGGCTTCATTTTCTTACCTGCAAGGTGAAGATAATAATAGTACAGATATTCTAAGGTTCTTGGGAGGAAAGTGTATGTGTAATTGGAGTCCCTGGAGGCGTGCAGGGAGCAGAGAAAATGTATTTGAAGAAATAATGGATGAAGTTTTTCCAAGTTTGCTGAAAACTATAAATGCACAGATCCAAGAAGCTCAATGAGCCCCAAGGCAAGAAAGCTTCCATGAAACTTCATAGTCAAAATACTACACAATGACACATTATAACAAGAAACTAAAAAATGATACCCATCATTCCCAACCAGGGATGATTTTACTTTCTTGTGTGTGGGGGGGGTCAGGGGGTACAGGAGGACTAAGAATACATACTACACAATGACACATTATAACAAGAAACTAAAAAATGATACCCATCATTCCCAACCAGGGATGATTTTACTTTCTTGTGTGTGGGGGGGGTCAGGGGGTACAGGAGGACTAAGAATACATGCGTACTCATTAGTGTCTGCATCAAAGGACTCTGAGCGGGGGCAGAAAACCAATAATAGCCTCTGCCTACAGGTGGGAAATGCAAAGAGGATAGAAAGGAGACTTCACTGTGTACCCTTTAATTTTTTTTTTTAAAGATTTAAAGAGGGAGAGGAAGAGAGAATCTGAACCAGATTCTGCACTGAGCAGAGAGCCTGATGCGGGGCTCTATCTCAGGACCACGAAATCACAACCTGAGCCAAAAGCAAGAGTTGGCCGCTTAACCGACTGAGCCACCCAGGCACCCCCCCACTTGAACTTTTTTAACATATGTATGTTATATATTCAAAAAATGTATGTTAAAAAAAAAAACCAAACTCTAGACCTGTAGAAAGTAACAATGTGGAAGTTCCCCATTTTCCTGCCTCAGTACCATTACCCCAAGGTTGCCACCATTCGTAGGTTGATGCGTATCCTTTTAGACATTTTTCTTCTGTGCATATACAAGCGTGAACATTCACCCATATATTTTATGGGTTGTCATTTGCTTTTTTTTTTTAAAGATTTTATTTGACAGAGAGAGACACAGCGAGAGAGGGACACAAGCAAGGGGGAGTAGGAGAGGGAGAAGCAGGCTTCCCGCAGAGCAGAGAGCCTGATGTGGGGCTCAATCCCAGGACCCTGGGATCATGACCTGAGCCGAAGGCAGACGCTTAATGACTGAGCCACCCAGGTGCCCCATCATTTGGTTTTTAATAAAAATGGGAACACAGCTTATATACTATTCTGCAGCTTGACTTTTTCCCCCAAATCTTTCATGAATATTATAGCTGCTGTAGTCCTGCCTCATCCTTTTAAATGACCGTACAGAGCTCACTGTACGAATTGCCCTTTATGTCAAAAACAAGCGTTATTATTGAACAGACCCATTACCAGTAACGAATTTAAATCAGTAGTCAGAACATTCCCAACAAACAAAAGTCCAGGACCAGAAGGCTTCACAGGTGAAATCTACCAAACATTTAAAAAAGAGTTAATACCTATTCTCCTCAAATGATTCCAGAACATAGAAGGGGAAGGAAAGCTTCCAAATAAATTCTATGCAGCAGGCATTACCCTGACACTAAAACCAGACAGACACACTACAAAAAAAGACAACTACAGGCCCATATTCCTGATGAACATGGATGCAAAAATCTTCAACAAAGGGGCGCCTGGGTGGCTCAGTCGTTAAGCGTCTGTCTTCGGCTCAGGTCATGGGTTCTGGGATCGGGCCCCACGTCGGGCTCCCTTCTTAGCGGGAAGCCTGCTTCTCCCTCTCCCTCTGCTTGTGTTCCCTCTCTTGCTGTGTCTCTTTCTGTCAAATAAAAAAATAAAATCTTAAAAAAAAAAAAATCCTCAACAAAATACTAGCAGACTGCATTCAACAATACATTAAAAGGATCATTCACCATGATCACGTGGGATTTATTCTGGGAATGCAGGGATTGTTTAATATTTACAAATCAATCAACATGAGACGCCACATTAATAAAACAAAGGATGAGAGTCACATGATCTTCTCAGTAGTCACATGATCATCTCAATAGATGCAGAAAAGGCATTTGACAAAATTCAACAGCCATTCATGATAAAAACTCTCAACAAAGTGAGCTTAGAGGGAACACAGCATAATGAAGGCCATATATGAAAAACCCACAGCTAACATCATACTCACTGGAACAAGACAAGAAATCCACTGTTGCCACTTTCATTCAACATAGTGCTAGAAGTCCTAGCCACAGCAGTCAAACAAGAAGAAGAAAGAAAAGGCATCCAAATTGGTAAGGAAAAAGTTAAACTGTCCCTATTTGCAGATGACAATGACGCTATACATAGAAAATCCTGAAGACTCCACCAAAACAAATTATTAAAACTACAAATGAATTCAGTAGAGTTGCAGGATATAGAATTAATACACAGAAACTGGTTGCATTCCCATACACTAATAACAAAGTAGCAGAAAGAAAAATTAAAACAATTGTATTTACAGTTGCACCAAAAAGAATAAAATACCTAGGAAAAAACCACGAGGTGAAAGACCTATATATACTCTGAAAACTATAAAACATTGATGAGAAAAAGTGAAGGTGATGCAAATGGAAAGATATTCCATGCTCATGGGTTGGAAGAATTAATATTGTTAAAATGTCCGTACTATCCAAAGCAATCTATGGATTCAGTGCATCCTTTTCAAAATACCAAGAGCATTTTTCAAAGAACTAGAACAAATAATCTTAGAATTTGTACTGAACCACAAACGACCCAAATAGCCAAAGCAATCTTGAGAAAGAAGAACAAAGCTTAAGGTATCACAATCCCAGATTTCAAGATATACTACAAAGCCACAGTGATCAAAACAGTATGGTACTGACACAAAAATAGACACATAGTTCATTGGAACAGAATAGAGAGCCCAGAAATGAATCCATGTTTTTTTGTGCTCAATCTGTAACAAAGGAGGCAAAAATATACAATGGGGGAAGGTTTAAAAATCCTTTTTAAAAAATCAAAAAATTTAAAAATAAAAAATAAAAAAATTACAAATAGAAATACGATATGATCCAGTAATTCCACTACTGGGTGTGTACCCAAAGAAAACAAAAACACTAATTCAAAAAACACCTCCGTGATTATTGCAGCATTATTTACAGTAGCCAAGGTATGGAAACAACCTAAGGGTCCATCAAAGGGGAGGAGTGGGGGGGGGGGCGGGGATAGACAAAATGGGTGAAGGAAAGTAGGAGATACAGGCTTCTAGTTATGGAATGAATAAGTCATAGGGATAAAAGATACAGCACAGGGAATACAGTCAATGGTATTGTAATAGTATTGAATGGTGACTTGTGAATGTAGCATAGTGTGGACTTGTCAATTGCTATATTGTATACCTTAAATTAATTTAAAATTGGGTGTCAGCTATACTTCAATCAGTCAAACAAACATCAATATAGTGTCACATTTCCCAGCTGAATTTCTGTTTTATGCACACCGAAAAGAAACAGAGGTGATAGTTTTCTGCAGGGCTTTTAAAAACTTTCCCCCAGCAGCGATCCAGGTACCCTGGACCTTGCCAATCTCACGTGTTTGCTGAGTGAAAGAGCCAAAGAATTCCTCGTGGAGAACAAAGTGCAAACCTTTTACCAGCAGGAATTGGAAATTGTGGAATCTCTGCTGTCCCTTGCCAATCAGCCTGTGATTCACAGCGCCGGCTCTGAGCAGGTAAGTGCTGCATGCCCATGTGAGAATTCAGGTCCCCTGTCCCATATCTGCAGCTCAAGGGTATGGGTGAACAGGACTGTGGCATGAACACTCAGAGGGTAGACCCAGGGAATAGAGGTTCTGGTTCTAGTCCATGTTTCTCTTCTGGAAATGTCACTGACCACTAAGAATTTGAAATGAGAATGCACCTGCCCTTTTGTCCTCCTCATTTAATCTCAGTAAACTTAATCTTTGGGTAGGGGAAAAAAGTAGTTTAAGGTTCATACTACTTCTTAGTATTCACTGAGATGGGTATTTAATCTCAGCAGGAGCCAAATGAGAGGGAAATAAATGAGAAGAGGTAATTGTTTTTCCAAGATTATTCAGCAAGAGAATTTTTTTTTAAAGATTTTATTTATTTATTTGACAGAGAGAATAAGCACAAGCAGGTGGAGGGGCAGAGGGAGAGGGAGAAGCAGGCTCCCCACTGAGCAGGGAGCCCGATGCGGGGCTCAATCCCAGGACCCTGAGATCATGACCTGAGCTAAAGGCAGCCGCTTAACCACCTGAGCCACCCAGGTGCCCCCAGCAAGATGATTCTTGAACCAAAGTTTTTAATGACTTGCTCTCTCTTCGTCAAAATAAGGTTACCTTATTAGGATTTGAATAAAGACCAAGTTGTGTTCAGTCTAGTTTATAAGTAAAAATTTCTAGGAACAATCAAATAATTTCTTACTCCTCTGGGAAAGAGCTGTCCCTTTTTCCCCTCTCATGTTACAGGTGAACTTAAGTTGTTTGGTGTTTATTTATTTGCTTGGAATTAAGAGTTATTTGAAACTTTAATTTTAGGCTTTCCCTTTCATTGCAATTTGCAGGTTTTTTGTTGTTGTGACACCATTTATTTTTATTTATTTTATTTATTCCACCCGGGAATGATCTCTGCTGAAATGTCGCCTTCTTGCCCTCCCCGTATTTGCTCTGATAGCCACCTGCTTCCTCACTGTGTTATCACCCTGTTTTCATATCTCAGGATATCACTGGTATCTACTTGTTTGCCTACCTATTCCTCTGCCAGAATTTAAATTTTACAAGGGCAGAGGTCTTCTCTATCTTGTTCTTCGCTCTCTAGAACCATGGCCTAGAACAGGGCTGCCATAAACTAAGTTCTTGATGCTTATTTGTTGGTTGAAGGAATGAAGTTTTTAAAAATTTAAATAGTCCCCAGAAGTATCTAGTTAAAAGTAAGTTTCCTTCCCATCCTCCCTCCTACCCTCTTTCCCCAGAGACAAGCACCATTACTAGTCTCATGAGTATCCTTCCAGAGAGAGTCTGTGCATTTATAAACTAGGAGTAGTTATATTCTCCCCCCTTTTTTACACAATTGGTAGCATGCTAAACTCTGATCTCTACCTAGCTTTTCACTGAACTGCATGTCTTAGCCTTTCCTAGCCATACATATGGATTTGCCACTATAATAATCTTTTGTTACATGTACCGTAATTCATTTAACCAGTCTCTCCATTTCTGGACTGTTTAGAAGTTTTCCGATCTTTTGTCATTACCAGCAGGGCTGCCGTGAATACCTTGTTAGGTAACATAAGTTATTCCTCGTGATTCTGGTGGAACAGACACCGGGTCCTCATCCTGACCTCCTAGGCGACGGCCACTGCGTCTCAGTTTCATTCACGAACCTAATTACCTCCTGCTGGCCGCAGGCTGTGTGCCCTGTGACCCGCGATGTCATTCGCAGAGACAGGGATAGCGTGTCAGGGGACGCCCAGGTGGAGAGGGCCCGGACTAGCCGCTGCCTTCTGCCCTCCTGGGCTCCTTCGCAGGTGGGGTCCCGCAGCTGTCCGCAGGATTAAGCTTCCTCCCAATTAGTCGTTCAGAGGCGGCTCACCGCCAAGTTAGCCTCCTAGCACTTGTGACCACTCTGTCGGCCTGTTGGGAAGGAAACTGAAGCTTAGCAAAGACCACATTCTTCCCGTGAACCCACTCTTCTGTAGGAGCCACAATTAAGTAGAGAGACTTTGAGGATTCTCTGAAGGTTCCTCCATTCAAAACGACCGTGGGGAACTTTTGGCGTGACATCTTTTTGAAAATGCTCAGAGCAGAAACTTGTTGTCTGCCCAGTCAGGTATGTTTAAAGAGAAATGAATGTGGCACTTTGTTTTGTCTTTGGAAACTTTTTCCCATCAATTATGAATTATTCCCTCACATGACTGTGGTTGGGGAGGTCAGCATCATTAAGTTGAATTCTGTTTAATAGAGCCTAGGAGACTAAGGATGCTTTACAGTGATGGTGAAACCCTAGATCCTTTGGCACTTTCTGTTGTCATACAGATGAAAGCTTCACAAAAAATCATTGTAATAGTGTTATATAGTTTAGAGGCCAGGGGAGAGAGGGTTTGAATGTCATCCCCCCGCCTTTCTTTTTCCGTAGTGGCCCTTCTTAGCAAATCCAGAAACATGATAAGCAGACCTTGCAAAACCATTGTTTCTTTGACAGCTGGATAAATGTAGAGTTTGTTTGAGAATGAAGACTATATATATATTTCAGAGATCCACCCAGTTCCTGACCTGTGGCTGGGAGAGGCCTGCTCAGGCTCAGCATGTTCAGCCAGTTACTGTTTCTCTCTCTGTGCATTTGGTTTCCCGAATCAGATGAGCCTTATCTTTAGAAAAAGACAAGAAGGACACAAATCCCAGGCCAAGCCAAGCTGCTGGCTAGCAGAGATGATTGGAGGCCTTCCCCCTGAGATTGTATCATTAGAACCAGTAGGGAGATATGTTCTGAGGTCAGCCGAGGCAAATGTTTTTGGAAAGGAAGTTTCACATACTGTTTATATTCACAGAGCCTTTTCTGTTGGGTCCTTCTTGTTCACAGCTGAAACTGTGCTTTTAGTCTCACAGTCCTAGCACACTGTCCTTCTGCTCCCTGAGCTTACAGAAATCTGGGAGGAGGAACTGAGCTTTTTGTGTGGTCTGGGGATAACCAGGAGTCATTTCTAATGATGGCAGTAATCATGCAACAATCATTTTTAGGCTCCAGTTTATTTCTATCTTGGTAAGAGCTGTAATAAACTCAAGCCTTAGGATCCTGGTATTAAATTTACTGAAAAGATGAATTTCCTTAGAATTATGAAGATTAAGTGGCTTTAACTGTTTCGTGGGAGAGTCTGTTTTGGGTTGATTGTGCTTCCCCTAATAAATACAGCTTTCCCTGAAGGCCCCAGAATACAAGGCTGTGTGACTGAGTATTGCTAGGTGAGTTGTTTATTCTAAACACACTCACATAGATTTTCTGCCCGTGGGAGTCATCACATAGTTCTTGGCCTTATTCTGCCTTCAGGGAACGGATGCTGTCATAACTTGGAATGTTTGTCAACTTTCAGGCCATAATGTTCTAATGACCAGGTGCTCCAGCTTGTTGACTATTAATTTAATTAAGAGTATTAGATCACGGGGGCGCCTGGGTGGCTCAGTTGGTTAAGCGACTGCCTTCGGCTCAGGTCATGATCCTGGAGTCCCTGGATCGAGTCCCGCATCAGGCTCCCTGCTCGGCAGGGAGTCTGCTTCTCCCTCTGACCCTCCCCCCTCTCATGTGCTTGCTCTCTCTCATTCTCTCTCTCTCAAATAAATAAATAAAATCTTTAAAAAAAAAAAAAGTATTAGATCACGATCCTGGAGTCCTGGGATCGAGTCCCACATCAGGCTCCCTACTCAGCAGGCAGTCTGCTTCTCCCTCTGACCCTCCCCCCTCTCATGTGCTCTCTCTCTCTCTCACTCACTCTCTCTCTCTCAAATAAATAAATAAAATCTTTAAAAAAAAAAAAAATAACAGTATTAGACTGTCCTCTTCAGGCCAGGGGAGCGTGTTTGTGAAACGTCACTAGGATCCATTAGATTAAAACAGTGCCTCTTTGGAAGGCCTTTTCTAGAAAGAGAGGGTTTCTTTGGGGATGCAGTGGTCAACGCTTGAAGCCATTTGGGGGTTTCTTTCCTTTCCCTATCACGTGCAGGAAATGTCATCAGCAGATCACAAGCAAGCTCTCTCTTTCAGCATCTGTGGGTACTGTCCCAGATAGGCTTCATCAGCATTCTTTTTTTTTTTTTTTAAAGATTTTATTTATGAGAGAGAGCGAGAAAGAAGAGAGAATGAGTGGGGGGAGGGGCAGAGGGAGAAGCAGGCTCCCCGCAGAGCAGGGAGCCCAATGCGGGACTCGATCCCAGGACCCTGGGATCATGACCTGAGCCGAAGGCAGACGCTTAACTGACTGAGCCACCCAGGTGCCCCTTCATCAGCATTCTTCATTAGGGGTAGGACTTGGCCTTCAAATGCTTTTTTAGAAGCTTTGCCTTGTTTCTTTGGTGCTGTCATCTTTTAAGTATCTTGACAATTTTCTGTCACATTAAAAATGGGTGTGTACCTTGAAGGACAGTTGTTCACTACTTTGTTTCAGAAATGGACTGAAAATCCCCAGTGGAATAATAAAAAGGATACCTCCTCTATAATGGGGTATTTACTTCCCATTCATTACACGGATGTCTTATTAGTTACCCACTGTGTGCCAGGGAGGAGGTGGCCAAGTTGAAATAAAGTCCCCAACTCAGTAAGCTTACAATTTAGTTAACCATGGTAGGACATAGCTGAAGGCCCAGCTTCCTTGGGAACAAGAAATAGGGTGAACTGGTAACTCTGCGTAAACCCATGTCTTGGAGGAGAAATACTGAAATTGAGGAGATAGAAAACCGAGAGCAGCAGAGGTTCCTTTCCATGCGGTCTGGGACCCCTCTGCCTTCAGCCCCATGGACCCGCCTCGGACAGACAGGAGACTACTTAATACTTTGTACATCCTAGAATCCCCAACTTTATTTCAGTATGTGTAAAATTCTCTGAAGTCCTTAGGAAGAGATTATATATAGCCATAATTTTAATGAAAAAACTGAGCTAATATACATGTACAGTGTTTTGGCTCTGAATTAAAAAAAAAAATCAAAGATTATCTTTTTGTTTAGGAAACTAATTCTACCAAAAGCAGCATGGGAATAGAAGTAATTTTAAATGTTCAAGACATATAAACTACATACTCCAAAGATTCTCTTCTTGATTTTCCATTTCATACTGTAAAATTGAACCACATCGCAACTAAGGTATGGAACAGTTATCAAGCATGATCCTACCTGAGCAAACTTCCCAGGCCTGTTTAACTACCATCCTGCTGGGCCACACACCTGCATCATTTTGACTCAGCAGATAAAAAGCCTGTTGGGTGAATTCATAAACCAGTTGGTCCAGGGAGTTACTCTCAGATGCTGTAAGACGGGACTTAACTTCTTTTTCTTTTTCCTCTTCCTACAGGGGGATTCTAAGAAGGACACCACTTCCAAGGCAATTCATAGTATATTTAAGAATGCAATACAGCTGCTTCAGGAAAAAGGATTTGTTTTCCAGAAAGATGATGGTTTTGATAAGCTATACTATGTAAGAGACCTGCAACTTTTTTTTTTTTCCTTCGTAGCTTCGATCACTATATTCATTTGTTAGGAATACCTATTTACTATTTTTAAAATTCATTAAGGGCGTTCATAAAATAAGGACTGAAAGTCAGCCCTTCTCTTTCCCCAAGGTGCCATTTCTTTTTAAAGATTTTATTTGTGTATTTTAGAGAGCACAAGTGGGAAGGGGCAGAGGGAGAAGGAGAAAGAATCTGAAGTAGACTCTGTACTGGGCACAGAGCCCAATGTGGTGCTTGATCCCATGCCCGGGAGATCACGACCTGAGCCAAAACCAGTCGGACACTTAACCCGCTGAGCCACCCAGGCGCCTGCCCCCCCCCACCCAGCTGCCATTTTTAACAGTATGTCCTTCTAGACACTTACCTGTGCATTTACAAATGTACACGTATAGATGCTTCTGTGGCTTTTTTGTTTTCCCCCCCAAAAGTGATTGTCCTGCAAATCAGGACTTCTCAGCCTTAACACTGGGCCAGATGGTTCTTTGCTGTGGGTGGTTTTCCTTTGCATTGTGGGAGGTCTAACAGCATCCCTGGCCTTTATTCACTAGATAGCAGTAGCAGCCCACCGACTTGTGACAACCAAAAATGTCTCTGGACATCGCCAAGTGTCCCCTGGGACAGTTGAGAACCACTGCTGTAAATAATGCCTGGCAGTTTTGGGGGGTGGGGTACCAAAATAGCACATCACAGGCATCTTTCCATTTTAGTACTTCTAAATCTCCCTCAATCTTTTTGGCCTCGCATGGTATCATGGGTTCTTGCCCTACACTTCTAACCCCTTCTTTCTGGTGGACATCGGTGTTGATTCTGAGTTTTGCTTTCATAGATAGTGTTGCTATGGCTACCTTTGTGAATTCACATAAGCATTTCTGTAAGATTTGTTCTTAAAAGAGGAATTGCCGTGCAAAGGACATGTATCTTTAAGCATTTGGTCAGCACAGTCTGATTGACCTCCCGGAAGGCGATACTCACGGACATTCCCACCAGGGGTACAAGGGCCTGCTTGCCTCATACCTTCAGAGTTAAAGGTTCACCTCTTGCTGCCTACCTTTAATACTCGGGGGTGGGGCGTGCTTTCGGTGACAATGGGCTTCCTCGTGATGGCTGATATCAGCAGCGTAGATGTGGCTTCAGTCACGAGTGATTCTCCTGGAGGCGGATCAGAATTCCGAGGAGTCCCAGAAGTCTCACTCTTTACAGACATGATGCTGGAGGGGAATCTTTCCTTAATAGGACATTTTCTTGATGTTGGTTTACTCTAGTGATTCCCCATTTTAGAGAGGTTTTTTAAATTAATATATGTTTTAAATACTATATGAGTAAAACTTTTAAGGTTTATTTTTTTTTATTTTTAGGTAATCTCTATACCCAAGGGATGCCTGGGTGGCTTAGTTGATTAAGCATCTGTCTGCCTTCAGCTCGAGTCATGATCCCAGGGTCCTGGTATCGAGTCCCGCATCGGGCTCCTCACTAAGCGGAGAGCCTGCTTCTTCCTCTGCCTGCCACTCCCCCTGCTTGTGCTCCCCATTTCTCTGACAAATAGATAAAATCTTAAAAAAAATCCCTACACCCAACGTGGGGCTTGAACTCACTACCCTGAGATCAAGAGTTGCATGCTCTACCCACCGTCGGGCTCTGGGTTGGCCCCCTGTGTCTGTAAAACGTGGCTTTTCCTGGGCAGCAGCCAGGGCTGAGGTGTGGCGGGGCTAGGGCACTTCCTCCTGTGAATCAGTGTGAGCTGGAATGGGTGATCAAGCAGTAATAGCTCTTTTCGTCTGCAGAACCATCCCTCTTCTCTCCTCCCTTCCACCTCCTTCTCCCAGGCCGTAGGTTTCTGTTTTCTCGGGGAAGTAGTTGTCATGGCGATGTGGATACTTCTGTTTGTGTAGTGCTTTCCTCCTTCGGCAGCTCTCACTCCCATTACCTTAGTTAATCTTCACAATAACCTTGTGAGTCAAGATCCCCATTCGTCCTAAAGTCTGGTCACACAATTCCTGATACATGTGTTTGTCTGCATGCTTTTTTTCCCCCCTTCCTTCCTCTTTTCCTTCCTTCCTCTCTCTCTCTTTTTTTCTTTTTTTGTTTTTAGATTTACTGTGGAACATGAAGTTGAAACTCAGATGGTTACTTGGCTTCCCTCAAACTGGAGCCGGTTGAGAAAGGAGCTTAGTTATGTTTGCCTTTGAGACAGAAAGTGTTTCTGTAGATGAGCTGGATGTACTCTCTTGCTAGCTTTTCCTGACAGTTTTTATTTCATTTATTTTTCTTTGGGGTTGGGAGAAAAAAGAGTACTAATGAGACATGAGACAGGTATCAGGGCCCAGAGGAAGGAGCCCTGGTTGGAGATCGAGACTTTGATCACTTGTGTCTCCCTTTGAATATAAAGATGAGTAAGAGAAAAGAATGTATGACGAATATTTGAGAAGACAGTTGCTCCTTAAAAGTATGGAATTTCAGTTTTTCTTGATATCATGGTCCAGGTAAACCACCTTCCAAGGGAGTGTGCCTCTGGGCCAACTACAAAGCAGTGAGCTGCTTAGGGACAGAGCTGGTTTGACAATAGGCCAAGTATCAAAAAAACTCTTGTTTGTGTAGGGATGGTAATTACTGTGAAATTTTTAAAAACTATCCTAAATACTAATCTGGGAGTCTGGGTTACACAACCACTTCCTTACTTAAGAATGCTCTCTCTCCTGTCCTGTTTTTCCCATTTAGGTAACCAGAGAAGACAAAGAACTGCACAGAAAGATCCACCATATCATTCAAGAAGACTGCCAGAAACCAAATCGTAAGTGGTGGAATGTACATGTATGTGGCGTCCTGGTGCACTGGAGGGGGATGTTCCCTCCCAGAGAACACTGGATGGAGAGTCAGGAGACCTGGGGCTTTCCCCAGTAGTGACTTGGAAATATGATTGGTCCAGACACCTGCCCTCTCTGAGCCTCAGTCTCTTCTTCTGTACCGTGAGCGTTAGACTCTCACAGTTGTTCTGCCCTTAGCTCATGTACTTGACCCTGGAGCTTCTTTAAACATGCAGTGCTCAGGTCCCAGCCCTGGGGATGCTGATTCATTAGGGGCTGGGATAGGAGCTGGCCGGGGCAGCGTCTCAGGTCACTGCAGTACAGTGAGGTAAGCTACCAGGCTAGGACTTTTCTTGACCTTCTGGTTCTCATGTTCTCTCTGATTTGTCTTCTTCTACGCTTGCCTCTCATCTTTGAATGCAGACGAGGCAGTTTCCTCTCTTCTGACATCAGGCCTTTCTGTGTTAGGAGAAATGGTTCTAGACATTACAGTTTATGATTAGTGTAATTTAGTCATCTTAGAACCTGATAATTTGCAGAAGAAATGGTTTAAAATACAGTTGGTTTTAGTGGAGTTAGGTCAACCCCTAGTGGTTAGAATCTCAAACTGTAGCTAGTCTGACAACAGACATTACCGTTTTCACACTAGTTAGAAAGAGGAGAAAGCACTACTCCTATCTTTAAATCCTATGTAAACTGATTAGACTTCAAGGTGACTTTTCAAAGTCTGTCTTTTGTCAAACATATGCTGATAATGAATGTTGGCTTTTGTCAACAAGGAAGGCTGGGAGAGAAGGGGAAAGAGTTGTGAATGACTGCAGTTCTCCTCAGCCTGCTTGCTTTCTCTCCAAAGAAACCCACCCCCAGCCCTTTCAGCCCCTCCATCCCTGGGGCCTGGCCCTGCTCCAGTCTGAGTCAGCGGGCGGAGCTGGGCCAGGTCTCCGGCCCTGGTATTTATGGTATGCAGCCCTACTTAGTCTTTAAGAACCCATGAGGTCAGATCCCAGAATGGTGTGACAACAGATCTTAAAATAAACTGAAAGCAATCTATTACTTTAATGCAAAGTTTCTGGCTTTTGTTCACATCATTTAGAACAACAAGGATGAGTCTCCTTGAGTTGGGGGAGAACCTGTCCATCCACAATTTAGGGAGCTTTAAAGAGCAGTGAACTGTGGAGTTCCTCAACCAACAAGAGACAAGAGACGAGAGGCTGCTCCCTAGATAGACTCCCTGCACCCATCCTCTTCATCAGCCACCTGGCCAGATCCTTACTTTGATCTGCACTAGGAACAGGATGGATTGAAATAATCCCAGTGCCTGGTGAAGCAAATGAAAGGAGCTCACACTGCATTTCTCAGGAGAGCCAAACTGCCTGGTGGCCTGAGAGTCTGCAAAAGTGGCAGGTTTTCCTTCCCCTCCTAACCCCCAGACCCGCCCCGGCCCTGGCGAGTGTGTGTCGAGGTGGACCCCCTGTGCCCCTCAGTCTGTATGTGGGGGCCTCTGACAGCTGTAAGCCAGGCCCCAGAACTGGGAAACTCCGAGGAGCTGAACTCTGGAGCATGAGGAACTGAGAATGCCAGGAAAAATACCTCGTAGGGACTGTCTTGGCATCTGTTGTGACCACTCGTCCTAGAAAATATGTGTGACATTATATATATATGTGTATATATATATATATATATATATATATACACATATATATATATATTCTGAGTAATCATGTATGGACATGGTAAAAGTCAGACAGTGCAAAGTGCACACAGAAAATCAGAATCCCTCCCAACCCCAAGCCCCAGACTCTATGTTCCCTCGTCCAAAGCCAGTGGGTGTTACTAGTTTCCCACTTGTCGTTCTAGAGAGGTTATATACACGTGCAAGCATATTGGTATAGTTTTTTTTTAAAAAGCCCCACAAGTAAAGGTTAGCGAGCGATACTCAGTGGTCCACACCTTGTATCTTAAATCTAACGTTGGCTTCTAGAAGTCATTCAGCAGCAGCACATCCGACACTGCCTCAGTCTTAATACCACACAGGATTCCATTATACATATAGATAGATCTTCAGCCTCTCAATCATTCCTACTGAGCCTTTAGTGTGTTTCTGACCTTTTGTACAAAATACAGCATTGAGTTTTTCCTTATCAGGATGATCAGTAGGATGTAAACTCTTTCGTCATTTAGGAGTATTTCAGTAAACGGATAAACTTAGAATAAGGAAAGGACTATAAACATGAAGCCTGTTTTCAGTCCCTAAAGCACTGATCCTGGGCTTGTTCAAAGACCGGCAGCATGGCAGAGTTGTGAAGAGCTGGGCTCTGGAGCCCTCTTGCCTGGGTTTGAATCCCAGCTCTGTCACTTTATAGCTGTGTGACCTTGGGTAAGTCTGTGCCTCAGTTTCTTTTTTTTTTTTTTTTAAAGATTTATTTGTTTATTTTAGAGAGAGAGCGCGTGTGAGTGGGAGGAGGGGAGAGGGAGAGAGGGAATCTCAAGCAGACTCCCTGCTGAGTGCAGAGCCTGACACAGGGCTCGATCTCACGACCCCGAGATCATGACCTGAGCTGAAATCAAGAGTCGGATGCTCAACCAACTGAGCCACCTAGGCACCCCTCTTTTTTTTTTTAGTTAAGTATAGTTGACCTACAATATTATATTAGTTTCAGGTGTACAATATAGTGATTTGACATTTATATACATTACAAGGTGATCACCATGATGTCTAGTTACCATCTGTCACCATACAAAGTTATTAAAATATTAATGACTGTAGTCCTATTTACATCCCTGTGACTATTTTATAACTGGAAGTTTGTATCTCTTAATCCCCTTCACCTATTTCATCCATCCCCTCAACTCTCCTCCTTCCTCTCTGGCAACCCCCAGTTTGTTCTCTGTATTTATCTGTATTTATGAGTCTGTTTCTGTTTTGTTTCTTGGTTTTGGTTTTTAGATTTCCACATATAAGTGACATCATATGGTATTTGTCTTTGTCTGACTTATTTCACTTAGCATAATACCCAAGTCTACCCATTGTTGTCGCAAATGGCAAGATCTCATTCTTTTTTAAGCTGAGTAATGTTCCATTGTGTATACACACCATATCTTCCTTATTCATTCATCTATCGATGGACACTTAGGTTGCCTCCATATCTTGGCTACTGTAAATAATGCTGCAATGAATATAGGGGTGCATGTATCTTTTAAACTAGTATTTTCATTTTCCTCAGATAAATACCCAGAAATAGAATAGCTGGATCACATGGTATTTCTATTTTTAATTTTTTGAGGAACCCCCACACTGTTTTGCACAGCAGCTGCACCAGTTTATGTTCCCACCAACGGTGCACGAGGGTTCCCTTTTCTCCACATCCTCGCCAACACTTGTTATTTCTTGACCTTTTGATTCTGGCCATTCTGACAGGTGTGAGGTGATATCTCATTGTAATTTCGATTTGCATTTCCCTGATGATGAGTGATGTTGAGCATATTTTCATGTGTCTCTTGGCCATCTGTGTGTCTTCTTTGTAAAAATGTCTACTCAGGTCTTTTTTTGGGGGCGCCTGGTTGGCTGAGTGGTTGGGTGTCTTGAGTTTGGCTCAGGTCATGATCTCAGGGTCCTGGGATCAATCGAGCCCCACGTCAGGCTCCCTGCTGAGGGAACCTGCTTCTCCCTCCCCCTCTTCTGCTCCCCCTGCTTGTGCTCTGCTCGCTCGCTCTCTGTCAAACAAATAAAATCTCTAGAAAAAAAATTGGATTGTTTGCTTTTTTGGTGTTGAGTTATATGAATTCTTTATATATTTTGAATATTAACCCCTTAAAGATCTATCATTCACAAATATTTCCTGTTCAGCAGGTGCCTTTTTGTTTTGTTGATGGTTCCCTCTGTGCAAAAGCTTTTTAGTTCAGTTTAGTCCCAATTGTTTATTTTTGTTTTCGTTTCCCTTACCTGAGGAGACAGATCCAAAAAATATTGCTAAGGCTGATGTCCAAGAGTTTACTGCCTATGTTTTCTTTTAGAAGTTTTATGGTTTCAGGTCTTACATTTAGGTCTTTATTCCATTTTGAGTTTATTTTTGTGTATGGTATAAGGAAGTAGCCCAGTTTCATTCTTTTGCATGTAGCTGTCGGCAGTTTTCCCAGCACCGTTTATTGAAGAGACTGCCATTGTATATTCTTGCCTCCTTTGTCATAGGTTAAGTGAATGTCTACACATGGGTTTATTTCTAGGCAGTCTGTTCTGTTCCATTGATATATGTCTGTTTTTGTACCAGTACCATACTGTTTTGATTACTACAGCCTTATAGAATAGTTTGAAATCTGAGGGCATGATACCTCCAGCTTTGTTCTTTTTCAAGATTGCTTTGGCTGTTTGGGGTCTTTTATGGTTCTGTTTTTGTTCTAGTTCTTTGAAAAATGCTGTTGGTGTTTTGATAGGGATTGCTTTGAATCTGTATTTTGCTTTTGGTAGTATGGACATTTTAACAATATGAATGCTTCCAATCCATGAACATAGAATGTCTTTTCCATTTATTTGTGTCATCTTCAATTTCTTTCATCAGTGTCTTATGGTTCTTAGAGTACAGATCTTTCATCTCTTTGGTTAAGTTTATTCTTAGGTATTTAATTCTTTTTGATGCTATTATAAATGGGATTGTTTTCATAATTTCTCTTTCTGATAGTTCGTTTTTAATGTATAGAAATGCAACCAATTTCTCTGTATTAATTTTGTATCCTGCAACTTTACTGAATTTGGATTCAGTAAACTAATGGATTTTTGGTGGAGTCTTTTGGGTTTTCTATATATAGTATCACATCATCTGCAAATTGTGACAGTTTTACTTCTTCCTTAGCAATTTCGATGCCTTTTATTTCATTTTTTTTCCTGATTGCTGTGGCTAGGGCTTCCAGTACTATGTTGACGAAGGTTTGCCTCATTGTCCTTATATGCAAAATGGGGATAATAATAGCACCCCCATGATGGGTTGTTATG